GCGCAGTTCACCTAGGTCTGTGCACGTGTGTCTCTTCTGCAGCTCGGACTTCACGTGGGCGAGTCCAGCAGTGTCAGCAGTAGCAAAGACCAAGTCGTCGACGTACACGAGGATGTAGAACGGCGGCAAAGAAGTGTCAGTGCGTAGAAACGGCGACGGGTCGGCAGTAGAAGGAGCAAACCCAAGAGCCGCAAGTGTAGTCCTCAGTGTGTCGTGCCACTCACGGGGCGCCTGGCGGAGACCGTAGACTGGCCGCCGGAGGCTCCACTGGGTACCAGGAGGAAACGACCCAGTGAAGCCAGGTGGGCGGCGCAGCCAGATCTCCTTGTGCAGGCTGCCATGTAGAAAAGCAGTGCTGAAGTCAAGAGAGTGAAGCTCGTAGTCGCGCTGAGCGGCTATGTGCAGCAGCACCCGAAGAGTGGTCATCTTCGGGGTGGGAGAGAAGGTCTGAAAGTAGTCAACTCCCTGCCGCTGACTGAAGCCTCGAGCCACGTAACGTGCCTTGAAGACAGGCGGAGAACCCGGCGGCCGCTTCACCCTGAAAATCCACATGCCGCTGACGATGTTCGTCCCAGGTGGGGGAACCTCGTCCACGTAGGTGCCTGTGGACTTCCAGGAAGCCATCTCTGCGTCCATGGCTGACTGCCACTGAGAGGAGTAGGGAATCTCTATCGCCTCTGCGTAAGAGCGCGGAGTCGGGATGTCTGGTGCATCCGGGTCTCCCTCAGGGGCGATCAGCATGGACACGAGATGAGTCAAAGTAGCAGCAAAACACTGGAACTCCTCCTGCCTGTCCTCAAGGACGTCCGTGCTAAGAGCACACTCACCCCCGACGGACGGAGGACAGACAGACTCAGACTCAGCAACAAGACTGGCGGCGTAGTCCAGACGACAGCGAGCAGCGAAGTCGACAAGCTCAGCAACTAAGGCAGATGCAGCAGTGGACTCAAAGGAAGGGTCAGTGACAGCAGTAGCCAGGAGACGCGTGACATTAGGACTGGCAGCACGAAGAGAGTCAGACTCCGGGTCAGCAAGAGCAGGAAGAGAGGACTCTGGAGGAGACGGCAAAGGGACACGCAGTGGAGCAGTGGAAGGATGCAGTGCCATCTGGTGCGTGCCCGGGACTGCAGGAGGACGCTGACGCGGAACACGACGACTAGTGCGAGCAGCACGAACAGGCGACGCAGGACGAGACGCAGGCTCACGACGCTCAGCAAAACCTCCAGTAGGACCAGTGTAGGGAGAAGGAGCAGGCAGTGGGGAGGCGGGCTGTAACTGTGACTCGGACTGGACAGGCAGTGGACACTCTAAGGAAGGAGCAGGACCAGTCGAAGGCGGAAGACCAAGAACCTGCTCAAGGAGCGGAACGAAGTACGGCCGTGGCCGCGCAGCACCTCCACAACGAGCAGGGACAGTACCAGCACCCCCAGGGTCGGCCCCGACTCCAGCAGCTCCACCAGCTCCAGGAGCAGCAACTCTAGCACCCACAGGAGCACTGGCACCAGCAGCACCTCCAGCTCCAGCACCTCCAGCAGCTCCAGCTCTAGCACGACCACCGGAAGACTCAACAGCCCCAGCTCCAGCACCTCCAGCAGTACCTACTCCAGCAGCACCGCCAGCTCCAGCACCGCCAGCAGCTCCAGCACCAGGAGCACCCCCAGGCCCAGCAGCTCCAGTACTTCCAGTACGAGCACCTCCGGGACCCGTGGCGTCAGCACCCTCAACAGCAGTAGAACCTCCAGCCCCAGCGGCACCTCCAGCTCCAGCAGCACGGCTCCAGCGCCGAGCAAACCACTTGCGTAGCTCCTGTGGAGAGGGTAGCTCCCGCCGGGACGAACCACCCGAAGGACCTCCAGACCTAGCACCGCCAGACTCCACACGAGCAGGCCCAGCACCCTTAGGCTCCGCACCCCCACAGAGAGGAAGTGGTCCCTGACCGAGCGAAGGGAGTCAGGGAGCCGGGTGACTAGGTAGTAGAGGGTGATGTACATGGGGGGGGGGTCTTGGCGCAGAACTCAGCAGGAAGTGCAGCGCGGTAGCGGGTGTCACTAGTGCGAAGGTGCGTAATGAGATCAGCGACTGTGGGAAAGGCTGCGAGGTCAGGGAACAGGTACGGCAGCATGAGGCGACTAAGGGCAGCAGTGGCAGGGGAAGAGTAGCGTGCAACTACAGCGTCGTACAAGGTCTTAGCACTCTTGTACTGACTAAAGTGTGCGCGCTCAGTGGACGGCAGGTAACTACGCACAGCAAGACAGGCAGCAGCATCGCGTGTGGCCCACTGTGAGCGAACAGTACTGTCAGTATTGGCAGCAGGGTTAGCAGAGGCGCCAGACGTGAGATCGAACAGTAAGAGACCATATTTTCTATCGCACTGCAGGAAAAGCTGCAGATCATCGACCCAGACCTCAAAGTCGACAGCCCGACCCTCAGCATCAAAGGTGAGAACATTGGGGGTAGCCATGACAGCAGCAGCAGCAGGCTAGCAGCAGCAGCAGCAGGCTAGCAGCAGCAGCAGCAGCAGCAGCAGGAGGGGCGCGGCTCGGCGGTGCTCTTACCAGGGGCGGGTGGGTAGAGGCCCGCAAGCGGTGGGGCAAGGCCGAGGTGCGCCGGCAGGAACAGGGCCGCGACAGGGCGGCAGAGGAGGGCCGCGCCTCGGCTGCAGGGTAGGGCCGGTACGGCGGCGGCGGCTGTCACGGCAGGAGCGGCGGCGGCTGTCACGGGAGCAGCGGCGGCGGCGACCCGCCGTGGAGGAAGCATCAGCGGCAGCAGGCGCGACGGCAGCTGCTGCTGGAGCGGCGACGACGGGGCGGCAGGGCCGGGAAGAGCCGGGGAGGGGCCGCTAAGGGGCCGCGACGAGCCGTGAAGGGGCCGCGGAGGGGCCGTGAAGGGGCCGCGGAGGGCGGCGAAGGGGCCGAGAAGGGGTCGCGAGGGGCCGCGAAGGGCGGCGAAGGGGCCGTGAAGGGGCCGCGAAGGGCGGCGAAGGGGCCGAGAAGGGGCTGCGAGGGGCCGCAAAGGGTGGCGAAGGGGCCGTGAAGGGGGGCGCGAAGGGCGGCGAAGGGGCCTAGAGGGGGCCGCGAGGGGCCGTGAAGGGGCCGCGAGGGGCCGTGAGAGGGGGCACGAAGGGCCGCGAGGGGGGCGCGAAGGGGCCGCGAAGGGGTCGCGAAGGGCCGTGAGAGGGGGCCGCGAAGGGGCCTTAAGAGGGCGCGACGGGCCGCTAAGGGCAGGGGACGCGACGGGAGGGCAGGCGCACGGGGCGCGACTAGGGCAGGCGCGAAGCGCGCTCCGGCAGGTAAGGAAAAAAATGTCGTTTTAGTGGTGGGCCCTAGGAAACGTTCCCACTAGGGAACTTGCTCTATACCATGTGAAATAACGAGGAATGATTGGACTAGAAAAGTGTGTGATACAAATATGAAACCCCAGAAACCTGTACCCCTTAGTGTCTACCCCACTAGAGCCTACAAACACTATGTCATATATATCCGACACTATCCTACTGCCCCACGTCCGAGATGGCAGCTGATTACTTGACCAAGAAACTCGGAAAACGGAAGTTCGAGTACTGCATGCTGCTGAATGGACAGAGCCACGTCACCAGCAGCGACACTCCAGAGGCGAAGGGGAGTGTTGGAAACAAGTAACTTAAGCGCCTCTGTCGTGTCGAAACACCAAGTCAGAAGCGAAGCGAAACATATCGAAGCATCAGCGAGTCAACCCTCGGAGGTTGAGCAACTGCTGGAGGTTACGCGAAAGTCAAAGGTCAGCGACCTTTGACCTGACAAGTACAGCGCGACAGCAAGGACAAACAACTGACTCGCTATTGAGCAGTTGCCCGAGTCGTCACTGTATCGAACCGCAACAGCAACAGCAAAACAGTTATTAGTTATAACCCTTCATATTCCCTTGTACTCTTATAAAAGCTTGTATCTCTTTGTTTTAATATATCTACTTTGCCCTCACATACCAGCGCAAGGTGGTTCACAACCTTCATTAAACGCTTCCGCTATTACACCAGTCCTACCAGGAGCTTAGTCCTGCAAAGATCCTAAGGGCTTTTTCAGCCCAACATACAGAACGTAAGAATACATATGCTTTGTTATTCAGGTTTAGAGTTGCACTAATGATGCGCACTTCTTGGGTTTGGCAAAAAAAATGACAGCGAATCTTGAAACAGAGTGCACCACCATTTTTACGCTGGCGACCAGGTTGGCAAGAGAAGGCTTGCAAACTAAATTGGCCTTCACATCCTTGTTTAAGGACCCTGCTGAGATGTTCTGATGAAAATATCTGTTGGTACATTTGCCTAAGAAAAGACATTGCCTAATACATAAACTAGCAATGTCATATTATCGGGGTTCGAGTGTCATAGCGAAGCGTTCAATGACGAGAATCTTGCATCTTTAGTCCCTTCGTCAGCAGCCAGTGTAATCGCATTTTCCATCTCCTAGTATCACCGACTCAACAACACTCGTATATAATCCCCTTCCGTACACTCACTGTTTAATAGTCTTTCCCGCCCCGGCGTGACGGCCGACTCCCCCCGCTTTTGCAGATCGGCTAATATTACGCTCCCACGCTCTTTCCGAATCGTTTCTATTGTAGCAGCGTAGCTCCTCGCCGAGGCGCGGCGGGATTAGGTGGCTTGACAGAGACCGTGCACGCATGGGGGGTGGAACCGCGAACGAGGCGTAGATTTTTGCGACGCGTGCGCGGATACGCGCGTGCGTGGCGGGTAGTTTTTACCGCACACGTCACTAGCGCTCTCGTTCCGTGCTTTGCGCGCGGCGCGGGTGTGAGTCCGACCACGGCGTAGCGCCGCAACACGTGTCACCGCTGCCGCTACAGCTCGCTGCTACCTTCACCTCGCAAAAGGCGCTTCCCTTTTGATTTGATCAGATTAGATTGGATTTGATTCGATTTGATCCGCCATGGTGCTCGTGCTCGCGCTCGGGGACCTGCACGTGCCGCATCGAGCGGCGGATCTTCCGGCCAAGTTCAAGAGCATGCTGCTTCCGGGAAAGATCCACCACGTGCTCAGTCCGGGCAACCTCTGCATCAAGGTGCGCGCGAACTGGTTTTAGAGAATTCTCAAAAACCAGCATCAACGTGCGCGCGAACAAAATGGCGACGCCGATCTCAGGTCCGCGTCCCTTCCCATCCCTCTCCATCCCCGCCTTCGCTCGTTCTTCCCTGGTTGGAAATGCAGTATCAATCTTCATCCCCTGGTTTCCATCCCATCGGCTTTTAACGCTCACCCACATACCAGGGATGAACCCACATACCTTCTTCTCCCTCGGCCCCGCGCCTCTTCCCCCGCGCCTCTTCCCCCGCGCCTCTTCCCCCACACCTCGCCGCCTTGACAGCACGTGAACAAGTCCCCAATCCATCCGCCTGCCGATTACCCCGTCCTCGTCCCATCCGAACCACCCCCAACCCCCCATCGCTCCTCTCCGCCTCCTGACCCGTCGTCCTGTCACAGCGGGAGGTGCACGAGCATCTGCGGTCCATCTTCCCTACCCGCCCCATCCGCCCCAGCCGTCATAGCCGGCCCAGCTGGCCCAGCCGCCATAGTAGCTCCAGAATTAACACTCCCCCTCCCTTCCCCTCACCCCTTCATCCCCCGTTATCCCCTCTCCTCCACACCAGGAGCGATTTCCTCTCCTCCCTCTCCGTTGCCAAGTTCCCCATTGCCACTCCCTCCCCACTCCTCCCCATCCATCTCTATCCCTCCCCATCCCTCTACATCCATCGTTCCTCCCTGGAAGGAAGTGCATGATCAATCCGCATCCCGAGTTTCAATCCCATCAGCTCTTAATGCTCTCACCCACCTATGAACTACTCCCTCGCTGCCACACCAGGACGTGCAGAAGCATCGGTGGTCTATTCGCCCCAGCCGCCCCAGCCACCACAGCCGGGAGCAGTAGCTGCCTAATGAAGCCCGTACAGCCCCGTTCCCCCCTCCCCCCCCTCCACCTCCCCCTCGCCCCCCCACGCCAGGAGGTGCAGGTACCTGCGGGGCATCTTCCCTCACCGTCGCAGCCGCCCTAGAAGCTGCAGCATCAAACCCACATCCCCCCCTCTCCCCCTACTCCATCTCTCGCCGCCACACCAGGAGGTGCAGGAGTACCTGCGGGGCATCTGTCCGGACCGGACGTGCATGTGACGGGACGAGGGGCGAGAACGACGACGACGCGCAAAGTCAACCCCACACCCCCCCTCCCCCCTTCTCTCTGCGCCTCCCACCCAGGAGGTGCAGGAGTACCTGCGGGGCATCTGCCCTCGCAGCCACAGCACAAGCCGCAGTATTAGCCCCCCTTATCCCCCCTCTCACCCTCCTCCCCCTCTCGCCCACACGTCAGGAGGTGCAGGAGTACCTGCGGGGCATCTGTCCGGACGTGCATGTGACCCGACGAGGGGCAAGTACGACGACGACGCGCAAAGTCAACCCCACCTCTCTCCCCCCCCCCCCCCCCCTCCCCCCTCCTCCCTCCCCAACCCCACCCCCCCCTTCTCTCTGTGCCTCCCACCCAGGAGGTGCAGGAGTACCTGCGGGGCATCTGTCCGGACGTGCATGTGACGAGGGGCGAGTACGACGACGATGCCCAGTTCCCCGACACCAAGGTCGTTGTCGTGGGCGGCTTCCGCATCGGCCTCTGCCACGGCCACCAGGTGCGCGCATGACCTGTGCTGCTTTGGCTTCTCTCTCTCTCTCTCTCTCTCTCTCTCTCTCTCTCTCTCTCTCTCTCTCTCTCTCTCTCTCTCTCACTCACTCTCTCTGTGTGTGTGTGTGTGTGTGTGTGTGTGTGTGTGTGTGTGTGTGTGTGTGTGTGTGTGTGTGTGTGTGTGTGTGTGTGTGTGTGTGTGTGTGTGTGTGTGTGTGTGTGTGTGTGTGTGTGTGTGTGTGTGTGTGTGTGTGTGTGTGTGTGTGTGTGTGTGTGTGTGTGTGTGTGTGTGTGTGTGTGTGTGTGTGTGTGTGTGTGTGTGTGTGTGTGTGTGTGTGTGTGTGTGTGTGTGTGTGTGTGTGTGTGTGTGTGTCTGTGTGTGTGTGTGTGTGTCTGTCTGTCTGTCTCGGCTGGACTGGGCGTCCGCGTTGGTGTTTGCCACGGCCACCAGGTGGGCGCGTGGCGCATGCTGCATGGTGCATGGTGCATGCTGCATGGTGCATGGTGCATGGCGCATGGCCCATGGCGTGACCTATGCTACGGCTTCTGTGTGTGTGCGTGTGCTAGCACTGGGCATCCGCATTGGGCCTTGTCACGGCCACCAGGGGCTGCTCTCTGCTTCTCTGCTCTGTGACGTTCCCTGTTGCCCGTCCTCGCCATCCCCTCCATTCCACTCCCCATTTTCTCCTCCCCGCTCCTCCTTCCCAGGTGATCCCATGGGGCGACGTTGAGTCCCTAGCCATGCTGCAGCGGCAGATGGGAGTGGACATTCTAATCACGGGCCACACGCACCGCTTCAAGGCCTATCGCCACCAGGGTCGCCTGCTCATCAACCCAGGCAGTGCCACCGGCGCTTACACCCCCTCCACCGCTGCTGCTGCCGCTGCCGCCGCTACCGCTGCTGCCGCTGCAGCTGCTGCTGGGGAGACCGACGCTGCTGCTGCTGCTGGCGGCGCTGCTGCGGCTGCGGCAGCAGCGGCGCTGCACCCGAGTTTTGTTCTAATGGATGTGGATGGGGCGCGCGTGGTGGTGTATATATACGAGCTTGTGGGCGGCGATGTGAAGGTGGATAAGATCGAATTCAAGAAGCCCGTTGCTGGCGCGCAGTGAAGGGGCGTGGGGGAGGAGAGGGGGGGGGAGGGGGGGGGACGGGGGAGGGGAGGAGGGAGGAGGGACGAGCACACCTCTGATCAAGTGCCTCATGATGTGAAGGTTGATAGGATTGAGCTGAGTTGGGGAAACCCGTTGCTGAGGCAGTTATGCGAGGGGGGGGGGGGGGGGGGGGGGGAGACGGGGGAGGGGAAGTGCAGAAACGTATTAGTATTGAGGCGACCGAGGGGTGCCTTTGAGACGTCTCAAAAGGGATGCGAGGGCGGGTAGGATAGGATAGGATCCAGTTCAGGAAGCTTGTTGCTGGAGCCACATGCGCGGAGTGAGTTGAGGGTGAGAGGTTGGGTACCGCATGGTGAGGATTGGGGGACGGGGAGGGGGAGAGAGGAACAGGGCGGGAGGGGGTGTGATGTATATGCTGTTGCGGAAAGAGCCAAGGTGGTGGTGGTGTGGTGAGACAGACCGGGGGACAGGGCAGGGGAGCGGAATGGGTGGACAGGGTGAGACGGACAGGGTGGGGGGGGGGAATGGGCAGTAGTTGATGCCAAGGTAGTGTTGGTGGTGTGTTTAATGGCGTGTAGGTTAGGTATGTCTGTCCACTGATCCATCCATCCATCCGTCCGTCCGTCCATCCATCCGTCCGTCCGTCCGTCCGTCCGTCCATTCAAGTGTACCGAAGAAGCGAGCAGCACTAACAGCAGTGGTGATACGGTACCAGTAGGTAGGCTTACGGTACATAACAACAGCAGCGCTATCGCTACATGCAAGTGCGTATGCAGCACATTACCCAACTGTATAGTACTGTAGCATTACCCCAAAGTGTGCAAGCAACAAGCTGTTGATCTATGTTGTGGTGTGATTGGTCTGTCTGACTACCACAGCTTCCTTATTTTAGGTGCATAGTTTGTTCACAGCACCAGGCTGAGCAACAATGCCTGAGAAGTCTGAGGAGCAGGTGCCATGCCATGCCATCTTAGCAGGTAGAAACATGCAGCCGAATGCATTAGGTAAGATACGTTTTCTGTACAATGTTGAGGAAAAAATACACTGTAGGAGCTCTGCTTATACCTAAGGGTACGGTACTAGGCACAAACTAGCTACAAGGTGGTTCTGATTTGTAAAGAGTCATGTACCCTAAATTATCATGTGTTGCATGCGAGCATGTGCTCGTTCCAGCACGCGTGTCAAATCAACATTGTCACGAGGGTGGTTTTGCAGGCGGTTGGCCAAACTTGGCGAGGTGCAGGGCGGTGAAGAGGGGTTCTAGGGCAGGGATGCGGATGGCATCGAGATATGAGTCGCAGTGGAAGCACCACACGGAGAGGTCCCTGCGGTGGTGGACGCACAGGGCAGTCGGATGCCATGCCATGCCATGCCGTGCCGTGCCGTGCCGTGCCATGCCGTGCCGTGCCGTGTCATGCCGTGCCATGCCGTGTTGCATGGAGCAGAGGGTATGGAGAGATGGGCAGAAGGAAGGAAACGGAAGGCACAAGTGCTTGGTAGATGTGAATAATTAATGCTTCGGACAACCCCACGATAATTGTAAAATCATGTCGCACCATGTCGTGATATGTCATGTGATACCATGTCATCCCATCCCATCCCATCCCATCCCAACCCAACCCATGCCATGCCATTCCAGAAGCCGCAGGCTTAGCTGATCCACAACGCAGCTCCACACACCACAGAGCCTCACAGAAACTGCACTGAGCGCTGAAAGGAAAAGCCCGAGCATAGGCCAATAAGAGGTCCAACATAGCTCATAAGAGCCACAGGATAGGCCAATAAGAGGTCAAGCGGAGGAGAGGAGGGGCAGGGGAGGGGCAGAGAAGCCTCGTGGGGGGCACAGAGGAGAGGAGGAGCGCACCTGAAGCCAGCAGCCAGTGGGTGGGCTGTTTCAGTGACGTGCTGCAGCATGTGGCCGCCCACGTACCGGCCACACGCCACCACTCCACACGTCAGACACACCCAGTTCTCCGAACCGTCCTTGCAACTGGTGGGAGGTGCGATGGAGGGCCATGGGAGGAGAGGCACGGGTGAGAGAGGGAGGTGAGGTGAGAGGACGAAGGTGAGGTGAGAGGAAGGGTTGAGGGGCGCGTGCATGCATGGCAAGCACCGTGCAGGCGCATCATGCCGTGGATGTTAAGTTTTCAGGCGCCTGTAATCATTGACGCGCCTGGAACCACAGAGAGGGATAATGCCACTGGTGCTGGTGCAGGGAGAGCGAGGGGCGATGTCACATGGGCAAGGGCAAGAGAAGGGCGGGGGCGGGTGCAAAGAGAGAGGGAGAGAGGGGAGAGAGGGGAGAGAGGGGAGAGAGGGGAGAGAGGGGAGAGAGGGGAGAGAGGGGAGAGAGGGGAGAGAGGGGACCCTTACAAACTAAACGAATTCCTTCCCGGCCCACCCCCCTCTCCCACCCCACCTCCCGCTCCCGTTACTCCTCCCCTTCCCGCTCTTCCCCCAAATACCCACCCCGTTCCCACATCCCAAACCTTTCGTCCCTTTCGTCCTCCCCTCCCCCATGTCCCCTTCTTCCCCCCGGCTCTCACCTGTGGCAGAGCGAGTCGAAGGGCGGAACGGAGTGCGGGGGCAGCAGCGAGGTGGCGGCGTCAGGTGAGAGCACGTGCGGGCAGCGCGTGAGCGCGCCTCCTGAGGCGCCTCAAACTCCCCCCCCCCCCCCTTCCCCATCCCGCCCTCACCTGTGGCAGAGCGAGTCGAAGGGCGGAACGGAGTGCGGCGGCAGCAGCGCAGCGTCTGCGTCAGCGGAGAGCACGTGCGGGCAGTACGTGAGCGCGCTCACCCACATGCCGTTGTTACCAATGCCCGCTGCTGCCGCCTCTGCTGCTGCTTCCGCTGCTTCTGATGCTGATTGTGCGCCCATCACTAGCAGATCGCCCTGCGGGGGGGGAGAGGCGGGCGGAGGGGAGAGGCGGGCGGAGGGGGGGAGCACGTGCGGACAGTACGTGAGCGCGCTCACCCTCTGCTGCTGCTTCCGCTGCTTCTGATGCTCATTCTGCGGCCATGAAGAGCAGATCGCCCTGCGGGTGGGGTGGGGAGAGGCGGGTGTGTGGAAATGGAAAGGAAGCGGCACTACACCAGAGCCGCTAGAGGAGATCCACCCGACAGTGACTTAGCAACCAAGGATGACTTTAGAGGTGAGCGACGGAGCTTGGTCACCTCGCGCGTCAAGATTCTAGGGCCGCTAGAGGTGACCGAGCCGAAGAAGACGAGGGTTTGCTTGAGAGATTCTCAAACGCCACGTGCTGCATGCGCAGTGGTGCTACCACTCCAAGGCACCACACACCACCCGAGCCGGTTGGTGATTGAGCCGAATACCAAGGGTGTGTCTAGGAATTCTCAAACGCAATATGCTGCATGCGCGGTGGTGCAACCACTCCGCAACACCACGCAGGTGCCGCTACTAGTTGACAGAGCCGATTGAGCGTTGCACGCGCGCGCAAGAAGCGGGGGCACGGGACGGTGAGATTGAATGTCAGCTGGCAGCACTCGGTGCAATCGCGGTTCCCGGTTTGTCGCAACTGCTAGAGCCACACGCGCTACAGTCACACGCACCTCGGTCACGCCTAAGCTTGTTAGCGAGTCGCCTTGTAAGAGAACAGCGCCAGTCGCGGCGAGAGCGCCGCTACCCGCCGCGGGGCTGCCTTCCGCGTCGCCACCCGCCGCCGGTTGCTTCCCCTCGCGATGACCTCCGGCATCAGCGCCGTCCATGGCGGAGAGGCGAACGAGGCTCAGAGCACTCGAATCACGTGAAACTACTCGAGCTACTCGACTTACTCGAACCACCCGGAATTACTGGAATTACTTGCGATTGATACTACTCCCGAAATTTATATTACTCGGAATCACTCAGATTGATGGGGACCCGGGGAGCGCGGAGGAGAAAAGGAGGGTGAGAAATTCGTGCAGTTGATGTGCAAGGGTGTTGGTGGTGGTGAGGGAAGGCCAGAACAGAAAGCACATTTTACGCTTTATGGAGTCGTCCGACGCGTTTCTCTGAGTGTCGCCGCATTTGCTTATCTACATTGTGTGGAGCTGCACTGCCGTATACATTGTGAGAAACAGCGAGTGAAAAGGTAGCTAGCTGGCTATCATCTTTAGTAAAACTCCACACACGGTAAGTTGATACAAGAAAATGAACCCACATTAACGGAAGCAATGAATTTCTTATAAATGTATGTCATGATTCTCCAAAAAAAAACACATACAAACTAGGTACTATTTACAAGATAGATATCATCCATTCCAATCAGAATTGTCCCTTGTCAGGGGTACGGTACATGATGCGCACCCAAATCAGCGTCCTCTCTTCCCTCTGCTGCAGCAAGCAGCGAGATAACTGCCCGCCAAGGAGTGGAGGTGGGGGGAAGGAGTCTGACTGATGCTAAGTGAATAGGTAGCCAGCTTGCAGCTGCTTCAAGTGGCTTGAGGAGACCAGGCGGTTCACACAAATAGGTACCGAGGTGTCACCGCAGGAAATGGCGCCGCTGCTTCGGTGCTCCCCTGCTCTCTTTATTGCTTTGATCCTTCGAGCATTTCGAGACATACCCCCACCACATAGTTGCACCAGCTGCTCAATCCCCAACTGACAAACACAGAGGCCTATGGGATGGGAGGGAGCTTCTGTGTGCTATGTACAAGGCCGACCCCTCTGTGGTAACAAACATGTGAATCTCTTGCTCCAATCTCAAACATCTCCCCTTCCGTGTACCGTTGCCCCTCCCTTCCACGTCCTGCGTGCGTACGCGTTTTTCCCGCTTCCCTGCTCCTCTGCTCACCCATGGCCCATCCATCCTCTGCTCACCCACGGCCCATCCATCCTCTGCTCACCCACGGCCCATCCATCCTCTGCTCACCCACGGCCCATCCATCCTCTGCTCACCCACGGCCCATCCATCACCCACCGCAACCGGCGCAACAACAAGAACACGGCCTGAGCGCCACCAATCATCATCATCCACAGCTCAGAGACATTTCACGCCAGCCAAACCAAACCAAACCAAACCAAGCCAACGGAGAACGGTGTCCATACCATTCCTGGAGCAGCAACACCTACCCCTCCCTCCAACTCATGCCATGCCACCTCAAGCTCTCCTCCTGCTCTCCTCCTGCTCTCCTCGCCTCCACCTCCAAGCTCTTGCTCCCATTCCATCCAGCAACCACTGCTCCCATCAGATGCTGCCTCCACCCCACGTAATCCCCCACCCATCACAAGCTCCTAGCTACTACCATCCCAAGCTACCCCCTCTCCACAGCCCCCCGTTATGCCCGTGCTGCTGCCCCCTCCTCTCACCACCCCTAGTTCTGCCTGGATTGGAGTGCGAATGTGGGAATAGCGGCGCCGCCTCTCCCCTGCCTGCCTGCTCCATGCGAGCTACCTGCAGTGCTGCAGCCTCCATGGCTGCTAAGTCCCAACCTGCCCCTCCATCTGCCCCCACCACACCATCACCACCCGCCGTTGCACCTGACACTGTCCCACCTATGGCTCCTGTTGCCCCTGCTGCACCTGCTGTTGAGCCAAGAGCCCCTGCACGCGTCCCCCTTTCTTCGCCCAACCTTCTGTTGTTCCCCTCCCCAAGCCTCTCCCCAAGCCTCTCCCCACGCCTCTCCCCAAGCCTCTCCCCACGCCTTTCCCCAAGCCTCTCCCCACGCCTTTCCCCAAGCCTCTCCCCATGCCTATCCCCACGCCTCTCCCCAAGCCTCTCCTCATGCCCTTCTCCCCTGCTCTCTCGCAGAATCCTCGCCACTTTTGCCTCAGAAGCACCATCCCAAGCAGCAGCAGCAGGAGCAGCGGATTGAGCAGCACACAGCCTCTCCCACTCCATCAAACCATACATCTGCTTCGTGTGCCTCTAGCCTTCTCCACCTCTCGTCCCGCCCACACCTGCTCCTGCTGCTCCTCCTGCTGACCCAGCAGCTTCTGAAGCAATAGAAGCAGCAGCAGCAGCTGAAGGGTGGGCGGCAGCAGCATCTGCTGATTCTCTCAGCCGCCTATCTCTTGCGCTGGGAGCAAGAGCTGTGAGGCTGGCAAAGGGATGGTTAGTGGGTCGAGCAGAGATGGGACCATGTCGCGATGACAGAGCCGCAGCAGGGAAAGCATCAGGAAAGGGAAGGGCGGGTGGTGGAGCTCGGGCTTTGGAGGTGGGGGGGAGAGGGAGCAGTGCAGAGTGGGGGGCGAGGGGAGTGGTTGCAGGGAGGAGTTGAGTGAGAGGAATATCTTGCTCCTCTTGCTGCCCACGCTGCTGCTGCTGCTGCAGTTGGCGACGATGGCGGTGATGCTGCTCCAGCAGCAGTTGCTGCTGCTCCTTCTCCTGCTGCTGCTGCTGCAGCTGCAGCTGCTGCCACTGGTGTTGCTCTGCCTCGCTCTGTTGCTGCAGCAGGCGCACAAACAGGTCTTGCTCTGCCTGTTGCGCTGCCACTTGCTCTTGCTGCTGCTGCTGCTGCTGCTGCTGCTGCTGCCGCCGCCGTTGCTCTTGCTGCAGCAGCTGCTGCCACTCCTGCTGCTGCTGCTGCCGCTGCCGCCACTCCTCCTCCTGCTGCTGCTGCTGCCACTGCTCCTGCCACTGCTGCTGCTGCTTGAACAAGTGTTGTGGCCACAGCAAGTGGCGGTGCATCGGGTCTAGAACAGCAGCCTCTGATACAGACGACTGCATCTGCTGCATCCCTGCTGCTGCTGCTGCTGCTGCGGCTGCTGCAGTGGCGGTGGTGGCGGTGGTGACAGCAGTTGGTGATAGTTCCACGAGAGGGGCTATGACATGCGCTGCTGCAGCGCCGGTGACTCCTGCTCCCAACCCTGACCGCAACGACATGATCTGGTGAGGAAGGAGAGAGGGAGAGACAGCGGAGTGTGAGTGATGCAAGTATAAGCGGTAGAGAACGTCGAAAGAGGAGTGCAGAGGATTGGTGCCAGATGAGGGGATGGGGCGCATGCAGGGGATGGGGAGGGGAAGCGGCAGCATGGATGGTGCGGAGCGGAGGGGGGGTGGGATGGTGGGGAGAAGGCGAGAAAATAGGCGGGAGGAGCAGAGAGGGGAGCGAGCTTACCTGCAGCTGCAGCTGCATGGCTTTAATGTGCTCTATAAACTTGTCCAGCAGTGATGCCTTGTCCGCCTGCCATCCACGCACATGCACACAAGCGGCAAGAGGCGGGGTGATGGAATGATCAATAGATGGAGGTGCGGCAACAGAGGAAGAAGACGGAGGAAGATAGCTAAAGAACAAGGTGGTTTTACTGGAAGAAAAAAAAAAGCAGGCCCAACGCATCACACCACACGCACCATACCATCAGACCGACTGCAGTAAACCACGCACAACCGCCCTGTCACCCTAAAGATCCATTTGCAACACTCTCCACCACTCTTCCCATGCAAGAAACCACCCGCCAGTTCCACCCACTCTTCTCTCTCCCTCATGGCAGCAGCTCCCGCATGGCGTTGAACCGCTTGTTGATTGATCTGGGCAGATCCCCCACCCACACAGAATGCCAGAGCCCAGCCACGCAGAGAGCCACGCAGGGACCTTCCTCCTCCCCCACAATCCCTCCCCCCCCCCACCCCCCCTCCCCTCCCCCTCCAATCCCCCCCGCACCCTCACGCCGTACCCCACCTACCTTGCTGCAGTCTGGCAGCAGCTCCCGCATGGCGTTGAACCGCTCGTTGATCTTGTCTCGCCGCCGCTGCGGGTCAAGAATCGATGGCGGGGAGAGACGAGGTGAATGGAAGATTTGTGGAATATTAAAGGTGGGGGGCGACGAGGGGACCCAGATCACACCAGGAGAAGCTTGGGAGTTTAGATTTTTGAGACGTCTCAAAACTCTTCTTTATTCAAGAGATTGGACAGAGAATGGGTGTGTTTGGAGCCGTATGGGATGTGGGGAGAAGAAGGGAAGAGGAAACGAAGCACCCACCCGCTCCGACAGACGATTTTTGAGTCGACTCAAAAGGAAGATGAGCACACGGTATGACTTTTGAGTCGACTCAAAAATCGCCTCATCACACGAAGAAGGGAAGAGGAAACGATGCACCCACCCGCTCCGACAGATTATGCACACGTGCGGATCGACTCCTGACCGAGCCACCTGCTGCTGCTGCTACTGCTACTGCCTTGCCTTTTGATGCCCCTCCTCCTCCTCCCCCTTTTCCTCCCTCTCCTCGCGCCCCTCCTTCTCCTCCCCCTCTTCCTCCTCCCCCCATTTCCATTGCCTTTATCCCAGCAGCACCTGCTCTTCCCTCCTCGCCCTCCTCACCCCTCTTACCTCCCCCATCTAACCTCTCCTCCTCCTCCCCCTCGTCGTCGTCGTCCTCTTCCTCCTCTTGCTCCTCCTCATCCCGCTCCTGCCCCCCCTCCGTCTCATCATCTTCCCATCGCACTCCCCCTCTTCTCTGTACACGTGCAGGGGCCTGTAACTGCCAACGCCCCGCTCCTAGGATGGCAGGCTGTAACGTAACGGGGAGTGAGGGGGGGTTGATTGGGGGGAGAGTAACAGGGGGAGAAAGCAAGGGGGGAGTAGGAGGAAGGGGGTGAGCGTGATGAGAGGGAATGACAGGGTCCCATCAATGCCAGAACTTCGAGGGGGTGATGGTGAAGGGAGGAAATAGAAAGGAAGAGAGGCGGTGGGGGAGGGGCGGGGAGGGGGGGGGGGGGAAGGAATGACAGGAAACGGAAGGCATCCCATCTGAGTCCTAACCTAAAAGATTCATCCTGTATTCTTACACGTGTACACATCTTGTAACAAAAAAAAAAAAAAAAAAAGAGGTGCGCCTGAAGTAATACAACCCACATATCCATGTGTCCTGCTGCAATAGAATGCGCGATCGCAGCCCATCTCCTTTGCACACTCACCCCTGGGCTGTGCAGAACGCCTCTCTCTGAGCCTGCCAGCGCCCTCTCTAGACAACCCTGCGCTGCCACCATGCACCCCTCTCTTTCTCTCCGCTCCCGCTCCGCCTCCCCGTCCCCCTCCTCCTCTTCCCTCCCTTCCTCCTCCCCAAATCCTTCGTCGTCGTCGCCCTCCTCCTCCTCTTCTCCCCCACTCCCTTCCCCACCCCATCTCCAGCTGCCCCCCTCCTCCCGCTCACCATCCCCCCTGCTCTCCTTCCTTCCCTCCTCTCTCTTCCCTGCACCTACCCCCTTATCCTCGTCCCTCACATCATTACCTTCATCCAACCCGCCCTCTGTTCTCATTTCTCCGTCTGCCTTCCATCCCACCTGCTGCTCCTTCCACTCTTTCTCTGTCCTGCTTTCCCTAGTGCTTGCCACTGCACCACTGCCCACACTAGCCCCTCTCTCTCCAACCCCTTTCTCTCCAGGCTCCCCTGCCCTCCCTCCCCTCCATCCTCCCCCCTCCGTCCGCCTCTCCCCCGCCTGCCCTTCCCTACCTCTATACTGCTCATATAACTGCATTAGCTGCTCTGCATCCCTCTGCGTCTTCTTCCCTTCCTCCGCACCTCCCTCCTTCCCTCCTCCCCCCATTACCCTACTCTGTCCTGCTCCCTCTTCTCCCACCAAGCCCCCCTCTTCTCCCCCACTCTCAGCCCCTAAGCCCAAATCAGCACCAGGGAAGTGGAACGGCAGAGAGAAGGGCAGGGACTGGGTAGCAGTGTCAGCAGCGCTAACAAGGAGGGCAGTAGAAGGGTGGGTGGCAGGGTGGGCGGTAGTAGTGTGGGCAATAGCAAAAAGGACGGCAGCACTCTTTTTACCCTCATTGCATGCACCACTTGGGCTCTGAACGGTGCTCTGTTCCACAGGAGTGGTTCGGCCAGGTTTGATGTGGTGGGGAGGGGTGGTGGCATTAGCCATGGTGGCGCTAGCAGTGGTGGCACTAGCAACGGTGGTGCGAGCAGTGGTGGCATGGGCAGTGTTGTTAATGGCAGTCCCAACAGAGACGCTGGTAATGGTGGCGGGAGTGCTAGTGGCGACGGTGGCAGCAGTGGTGCTTGCAGCAGCGGTGCTTGCAGCAGCGGTGCTTGCAGCAGCGGTGCTTGCAGCAGCTGTGGTGGCAGCAGTAGGGGCAGAGGACCCAGATGCAAGGGAATAAGTCCGCATCTGAGCGGGTATGGAAGAGTCTAATGCTGCTGCTGGTGCCGCTGGTGCTGCTGGTGGTGTTGCCGCTGGTGCTGCTGGCGCTGCTGCCCCAGCAACAGACAAAGAAGAGAATCGGCGCACGGCAGTGGGAGACGCAGAGGCAAGAACGTACCGGCCGCCACCCTGAAGCATCTGCCCTGGAGAGCTGACGCGCGTGGGAGGATGAGGAGCAAGCGGGGAAGGAACGCTGGGTGCATGGGCGGGGGAGGGAGTTGGTGAGGGGGTGTGTGTGAGAGGGCGAGTGGGGGAGGATGTGGGGAGTGAGAGAGCAGCTGGGGATGCTGGTTTGGTTGGAGGCGGCATGGATGGGAAAGAGGATGGGCCAGTACGGGCGGAAGAGCGGGAGGACGGGAGGGAGGAAGGGCGGGAGGAAGAGCGGGAGGAATATGGGATGGAAGCATCAGGTAGTTGGGCTGTAGAGTGTCTCTCGACCTGTGCCGCCGCATTATTGCTTGCAGCAGCCCCACCAGCACCACAAGCAGCAGCAGCGGCAGCAACTCTGGAAGCAGCAACGGTGGTGGCAGAAGCAGCAGCGGTGGCAGGAGCAGAAGGGAGAGGGGTAAGGCGTGTGTTGGTGCGAGAAATGGCAGCACGGAGGGTCCTCACATGCGCACTGCCATACTGCTGCAGTGGTCGCGAGAACTGGGCGAAATTCAACACCGGCTTTACCGACCCTGCTCCCGCTCCCCTTGCTCCCTTGGTTGCCCCTGCCCCCACTCCCCCCACTCCCCCAGCTCCCCCAGTGCTCCCTCCCCCTGCACCCGCCCCTCCTGATTCTCCCCCACCTCCTACTCCCCTTCCCACACACACTCCCTCAGATCTCCCTGCCGCCCCTGCTCTCCCCATTTGCATAGCTCCCCCCTTCCCCGTGCCCCCGGCGTCTCCCCTTCTCGCTGTCGCACCACAGGCCGCCCCTGCTCCCTCTCCTCCTGCCCCCGTACCAGCACCCGCAGTAGCGGCAGCAATTTCAGCACCAGCAGCAGCAGCAGCGGCGGTACCAGCAGCAGTAGCAGCAGCAGAATCAGGAGAGAGCGGGGAAGGTATAGAGTCAAAGAGGGAGGAGAGGAGCGCGTCTCCCTCGTGGGATGGCATGTGGGAGAACAGCGGAGGGGAGGCAGCAGCAGCGGCGAGAGAGTGAGAGAAGAGAGGAGACAGAGACCCCTGCTCAGGAAAAGCTTCTGTTCCTTCAACTGCTGGTGCTGGTGCTGCTGCTGCTGCTGTTGTTGTTGTCGCTGTTGTTGTTTCTGCTGCTGTTGCAGAAACAGGAGCCACACCTGATGCCGCCGAGCCTGCTGCTCCTGTTGCGGTATCTGAACCCGAACCTACAGTGCCAGGTCCGGCCGCACGAATCATCACTTCTGCAGCCATACCAGCAATACTGCGAGCAACATCACCATCACCACCCACAACACCTGCTTCCCCAAATCCCTCTCCCGCCTGCCCGCTCCGCTCCAACTCCCCCCCAGAACCAGCAGCCTGCGCTTCGGTGAAATGCTGCGCTCCCCCCACCACCCCTCCGCCCTCCCTTCCTCCCACACCCCAAATCGACGCGGACGCACGAGCAGCCGTGATAGCAGCAGCAGTGGAGGAAGCTGAAAGGTGGTGGTGGGAGGAGTGGGCGCGGGCGGGCGCGGAGGGGGCGAGCGCGGGCACGGGGGGGAGCTTCCGCAGGGTGCTGCGGCGCATGGCACTGTACCCGCCAGTTGCTCGCCTGGGGAAACACGGGCGAGGGGGGGATGCTGCTGCTGCATCTGCCGGCGATGCTGGTGCTGCTGCGGCGGCGGTGGCAGCTGCTGGGAGAACAGATGCTGATGCTAATGCTGCTGCTGTTGGTAATGCTGCTGCTGCTGCTGCTCCTCCTGCTGTTGTCTTGATTACAGTTGATGCAGGTGACTTGGACGCTGCCTCTCCTCTCCCTCCGCCTCCGCCTCCCCGTCCTCCTCCTCCCTGCCTCGCCCCATGCCCTCTATTCACACGAAACCACGCATCCAAGCCCTCCTCCTCCTCTTCCTGCTGCTTCGCCTGGCCACTACTCAATCCCTGCGCATGGCCATGCCCGTGCCCGTGCCCATGGCCATCTCTCGCAAACACTCCCTGGGGAACGGCCTCATGCCCCTCTGCCCCTCGCCCCTCCAAACCCATCCCCAACCCCGTCCCCGCTCCCACTCCCTTCCCTCCTTCCCCTCCTAGGAAGCTGGGATCCGAAGGGAGGGAGAGGGAGGAGGAGGGGAGGTGGTGGAGGAGGCGGGAGTGGGGGAGCGCGGCAGAAGGGCGCGCGTAGGGCGGCCAGAGGGACGTAGGGAGCTTCTTGTGGGGGAGGTCGGGGAAGGAGAGAGTGGTGGAGGGCGGCCAAGAGGGGTCCAGCAGTAGTTGCTCGTGGTCCGGGCTGCACAGGGAGGAGCGGGGGTGGGGAAGCGGCGGGAGAGCGGAGGGGAAACGGAGAGAGGGGGAAGGGGGCCGAGAGTTGGAGAGAAAGGGAGAGGGAGAGGAAGAAAGGGGGGAAGGGAGAGGGAGTAAGGAAGTGGGAGAGAGGTTGGAGTGGGAGAGAGGGGGGAAGAGAGAGGGAGAGCGGGGGGTAGTGTGGAGGCGAAATGGGAAAGGAAGGGCGAGCGAAAGGAGGGGAGGGATAGGGGAGGAGGGGGCAACGGGGCAGAGAAATGGGAGGGAGGAGAGGGAGAACGGGAAGAGTCAGTGCCACTTCGTGTGGTAGTTAGTGATTAGTGTGACACCGACAGGGAAGGGTATGTCACAAGGACAGTAAGGGCATCAATAACTGGAAACCCCGAAATAAATATGCTGGCTAGTATCATAGGCATTCTTGCCCTTGTGCTCATGGCTTTAAGCCAGGGCAGTCCATGCACGCCGCATCGACACGCTTGGATAGGCTATATGTGCTATTGTATCAGCACGACAAACCCGATAGCCCCGACAGCCCCCCACAGCCTCCAACGGTCCCAAATAGCTGGATGGTGCACCAATAACAGCACAGACGCGGATTCTCAAGTCGCCGTTAGTAAACGCGTTAACTCTAACAGCAAATCGGTTTCGCTGTTATCTTTCGCAGCAGCGAAAGCGGACAGGAGAAAGAGGGGGGGAAGCGCAAGAGAACTCAAGTGCAGGACAAAGCCCCCTTCCCCTCGCCCCCTGGGACCCTAAACCGAAGTGCGGGAACTCAAGTGCGGGACACAGCCAGAGCGATTCCGCAGCGTGCGCGGCATGAGCTTTGCATCCCGCACGCGCGCGTGTCAATCACAAAGACGCAAGAAGCGCGAGCACGGGGGTGAGAGAGCGAGAGACGCGGCGACGACGGAAACCGTGACGAGATATAAGGCAAGAACCCGGAGAGAGACCGAGACACGAGAACGCGTAAGAGGTGGTGAGGGGGGCGAGGCGGCGAAAGGAAAGAGGCGACAGGGGAGGCGGCGAGAGGAAAGCGGCGAGAGGGGAGCTGGAAGTAGGGATGTCAGGGAGACAGAGGAGGGCATCGCAGAAAGAAATTCGATCGCGAAACGACGGAACAGCCGCGTGGAAAAAAAAGGAATGATGGGCCAACTCACACGAAGCTATCAGGTGCTTCATCCATGGCGCCTGCAACAGCAGCCGCAGCAGCAGCAGCTGCAGCGGACTCCGCGCCGCTGTCGCCCAACATGACTCCATCCTTGCCAAACGCTGCCCACTTCTCCTGCAATCCCTCGTGAAGCTCCTCCCGCGTCCGCTTCCCCAGCAACGATTCGTGCCGCGCACCGCTCGCCGCCGCCACTGCCGCCGCCGTCGGAGACAGCGGCGGTAGCGGTGACGTCCGCGCGGCGAGAGATGTGCCGTGCTCTTGCCGCGGCTGCTGCGGCGTGGGTCGCCTGTTCATGTTTTGCTGATCAGTCGCCGCAGGATCGACGAGCGGGGAACCCGTAGACCTTTTAGACAGAATGAACACTTGTGCTGTGACTATAAACCCCTTGAAAAAAAATAACCCACGTACATACGATATTTTATTTACAGCGACGTTATCACTAGGAATTAAATTTTATGTACAGATTTGCTGGCAACGAATACAAGCGCGACTTGACGAGTCAGAAGTTCCGGTACGAAACCTGTTTCGGGCGAGATACAGAGGAGAAGGGACAGGAAAAGGGAAGAGCGGAAACTTAAAACGCGACGCGAGAAGCCATGAGTACGCAGGCGATGAAAGCAGCAGCTTTTGGATCAAGACCCAAAGTGAACACTTGAAAAGCGGCACCTTTCGTAACAAGCCGCAACGTCGGAATCTCAATCCTCTGCGCACTTCACGGAAAGCGGACCGCTCGGCTTTGCAAAAAGCAGGGCTCGGAAAGAGCTCAAGACAGCTTAAGTGCTCTTGCCGCGTCTCCTCCCACACTACGTCGGCGCGCGGGCTGAAGCAATTAAACTCCCAACTTGGCGTAAAAGCCAGAGCAAGCTGCTAGGGTTTGAATGATATGATACCTGATCAATAGGGCTTGCGCTGCTGATTTGCGAATCTGAATCGGAAGATGCTTGCTTGGCACGTAACGATGCTCGACCAGGGCACGTGGAATGATAGCCTTTCTCGTCCGGAATGGCCGACTGTCGTTATACCTTCTCCGCTTTACGAATGGCGGCAATCGTCGATAGTGAAACCGAATCTCGATCGTACGAACATTAGGTGCGCTTACAGTCTTTGTAGCCGCTGCCTCAAAACGAGATCGAAACGTCGGGAACCAACGCCATGCACGAATTGTCTTAGCGTCGGGATTAGTTCAGGCAGTCTGGATAAATATCCCAGTTTCAACTAGATTGTCTCGTAGTAGCGAGAGGGCTCGCTTCGTCTTGTCACGTCACCGTCCTCCCTTGTGTCTTTCTACGCATGGCCTGCACTGTCAGCTGAGAGGTCCGTCTCTATGTACTCACCGCGGCCCGCGACTCTCCCTCTATCATTCTTGCAACCAGCTGCTGACTCAAAACGAGCTGGCATGGGCGACAGACAGCACCAGACCCCCTACGTTCTCTTTCGCCTTGTCAGCCATCCTAGGTAACTCCAGAGTCCAGGCCAAAATCCTAGCACAAATTCAATAGGGTACCCCCACAAGAAAAGAGAGCTGGCTGGCTGGAGTCCCGCAAATCCCAGCCCCATTCCGCTCCACGTCGCGCCGCCTCGTGGTCGCAACACCCCCGCAGCATGTGAGTCGACCGCGTTCTCGATCATGCAAGCTGGCTGAATATGCAAGACTGGATGGTTCCTTCCTTCCCTCCCCTCAATTCGCCCCGTTGAACCGAACCGAAACTCGCCGTCGAACTGGCCTCCTAAATCCATGCATACTCTCTCCCCCCAGCGGCATGAATATCTCACCTAGTTGATTCGGGAAGGAATCGTGCAAACGGTGGGGGGGAAAGCCTGGATGCACAGTGGACGGTGTGCACCATGGTGGCTACAGTGAAGTACACAGAATATGCACAAAAATCAAACGTTTTTCGCGGATGTAAGGCTTGTATTACCCACAGTTTGTCATATTTGATGTATTGTTTGACCTTTTAAAAGGTTTACAGTTACAAATACAAACTTGTATAAGAAACAACACTCACTCTGATAGTGATTATTCCAGCCATATTAGACTAGTTATATAATTTAATTTCGGTACAACAATATGCACTTCTATGAAACTTTCGTAATGTGGTGTTACTTTAGTATTATATTTTTCAGTCTTACTATGATTGCATATATTTCAACTAAAATCAATTACTATATATCCTCAGTAACTTGCAGTCTCTATCAACAAAATTTTGTTCAAGGCATCAGACTCGAAGTACAGAGAGCGGCGAGTCACCAACACCCCCGTTGTCCACTTGCCGCCTGCTTGAATCATGCAACTTTGCATCATGCAAGGGCCAGTGCTTGAATCTCCAAGCTCCATAATTTTGAAGTATTCTTTACTCTTTTCTTTTTCGAGGTATGGAAGTACACCGAAGGAAGCATCTACCCCGATTATGAGCAATTTGTACTGGTTTCGTCCCAGTCTTCGAAACCGTTTCTAGGAATGCTTCTACTTGTAGGTATTTAAGCATCAAACTCGTGCACAGCAATTTCGAAGGTCGAACGAAGCATTCTCTATCACCTCCTTGGAGCTGAGAATTGAATTACGATATAACACTAGCCTTCAAACCTACTCCGGATTTTCCGTTTCCAGGTTTCTTGTGAAATAACGTTTCCGTGTTCCCTGGCGGACTCACATGCCACGTATGCGCGTCGTAATACTGTACGTCAGCAGCATCTTCCCCATAGAGCATGATTTTCCTTCAGCATCAACTCTGTCACTCTGTGATGTCACCGAACGATCACATGAATCAGTTGCATGGATAGAATCTAACCGCCGCATGATTCGAGGAAATGATTCAGCACGTGATGATAGTGAATTGTTGCCACGTCCTTTCCTCACTCGATATTTTATTAAAAAAAGCCCATCGAAACGTACAAGATCTGCAAACATGTGCACTATAATATGTAAAGGGAAAGTATATGGGTTAGGCCCGCTTTATCACGTTTGGTCACGGGGGTATCACGAACAGTCACAGTACACCTCGTAACTATCGCGTGTGATCACAGTGTTATCACGGATAGTCACACCTTGCCCCGCTCGTATATCACGTTTGGTCACAGATGAAACGCCTTATCGAAAATTGTAACTACTTGAGTCACTATTGGGAGTCAGGGGGAAATTTATCACACGCACCGTTTTGTCCGTAGTGCTGCGGGACGCTGTTACTTACGAAATATTTTTGTGGTGAATCTCGTTAGCTCGCTAAAAACATCTACAATTTCTCAGCAACATCGGAAAGTTAACTATTTGCGCATTGTTCAATGTCCACCTGTCCACTGTTCGATTGATGCATAACGGTCAGAAACTGAATTGTGTGTTCATTGATGTGGGTTGGGGTACATATAGCAAATCCTAATATTTGTACCCCCCAAGACAAGCCTCACTACAGGCTACATCATTTGACACACCCCCATAGCCCAAGTGAGGGGTGTCTAGCAAAGACAAAGGAGTACGGTCACGTGAAGGGTGTCTAGCAAAGACAAAAGAGTACGGTCACAAGACCAGTCACAAACAAACAAAGCCCATGGTGGATCACAACGCCACCACACATTCCGAGCCCAAGCAAAGGGCCACAAGGCCAGTTCAAGAGTTCACAGATAAATGAGTAATGAGTACAAGACAACAAGCAACGACCATGCAAGACGAGAACCAGAGTCAAAGAGACCTAACTGCACACAATAATTGTGGTGGTCACAAGGCGGAAGCGCCTTGGTGAAGATGTCGGCAGTCTTGGCCTCGGACTCCACTAAGTCCAAGCGAGCCTGTCCACGCCTCTGCAACTCTCGCAGAAGAAAGTACCTGACGTTGATGTGTGCTTCACTCTGCTCTTCAATCGAGGCTCCCGACAGAGAAGAATCACCGCCTTGTTGTCAGTGAACAAGGTCGGTGAAGAGCTCCGCCGCTCACCAAGGTCTGTGAGCAAGAAAGTCAACCAACGTAGCTCCTGTGCAGCCATGGCTCCAGCGTAGATCTCAGCCTCAGCGGTGGAGGTCGAGACCGAGGAGGAGCACGTGGACCTCCACGAAACAGCTCCATAGCCGAGGCTAAAACAGTAACCCTGTGTAGACCTTTGGGTCTCGGCGTCGTCAGCGTAAGAAGAGTCACAGTGGCCAGTAAAGACAACCAGCTATGTCCCTCCGAGTACCAACCCCATGCCTGATGTTGTCGCTAGGTACTTCGCCACCCTCACAGCAGATGTCCAGTGAACTGGACGGTGTCTCCCTGGCGCAACAAAGCGAGCAAGGATGCTGAGAGGGTAGGCGACGTCTGGGCGAGTACAAGTCATCAGGTACATGAGGCAGCCCACAAGCTCTGCGTAGGGACCAATAGGCTCAAACAGCTCGTCAGGAAAAGGACCAGTGATTCCGTGGTCAACAGCAAGAGGTGTGCGCTGTACTGTGGAGTGCTGAAGCTCGAACCGCTGAAGGACCTGCTGCACCATGTGTGACTGTGAGAATGTAATGGTGCGAGCGGCTCTGTCCCTGGTGATCTGCAGGCCAAGGTAGTGGCGCAACTCACCAAGGTCAGTGCAAGTGTGTCTCTTCTGCAGTTCGCGCTTCACGTCAGCCAAAGCAACCTTGTCAGCAGTGGCGAAAACCAGGTCGTCCACGTAGACCAGTACAAAGAACAGTGTGGAGCCACGACGAACAAACATCGACGGGTCGGCAGAAGACGGCTGGAAACCGAGGTGAGAAAGGGTAGAACGAAGGGTGTCGTGCCACTCACGAGGAGCCTGTCGGAGACCGTAGGCCGGTCGCCTCAGCCTCCACTGGGTCCCAGGAGGGAAGGTGCATGTGAAGGCAGAGGGACGACGCAACCAGACCTCCTCGTGTAGGCTACCCTGAAGTTAGGCAGTGGAGAAGTCGAGAGAGTGTGGCTTGTCGTCTCTCTGTGCTGCTACGTGCACTAACACCCAAAGAGTGGTCATCTTCGGAGTGTGCGCGAAGGTCTGAAAGAAGTCAACTCCCTCGCGCTGACTGCAATCTCTGGCCACGTAGCGCGCCTTGAAGACCGGAAGAGATCCTGGTGGCCGCTTCACCCTGAAGATCCACATGCCATCGAATACGTTCGCCCAAGGGGGGGGGACCTCGTCGACGTGCGGTAGTAGTCCGTGACAAAAGTAGAGAGGGAAGCAGTGAAAGCCGACTCGGGAGGAGAAGGAAGTACTGAAGGAGACGAACGAGGCCGACTAGAACGAAGCAGGGCAGTACGAAGGTCACAGAAGGGAATAGGGGATAAGGGACGAGCACGAGGAGAGCGACGCGAAGGCCAAGTG